TACAATTAATTACTTTACTAAAGTTAGTCATAGATATACAAATATTGTATAATGCGGCATTGCACTCTGTTTAGTTAACTTAAGGTGTTATACTTTCATTAAGAATATCTGAATATATTCGGATATAGTGTCCTGTATACCCGAGTCAAATAAATCGAATTAGAAATTACGGTAATCCAATTTGGAATTAAGACTTTAAAGATGGATCCAACAATATAAAAAAATATTTAAAAATTATTATTCTATTTCTTTTTTTTTACATTTTTGGTGTGTTTTGATTTCGAAATTTTGTATAGATATATGATAATCTATATATATGTATATATAGGTAATTCAAGCCATTTATGCTTAGATTTTATTTTTGTTTTAATGTTAATTAGATTAACAAACTCCGTGACATGATTCCACTTAAAACATTTTCCTTGCTCAGAACACATAGGATTTCAATAGAATTAATTATGTAGTCTACTGTTAGCTTCTATATTTACAATTTCTTATAATTTCTATGAATGGCAATGAAATATGCTACATTTTTTCTTTTACTAAATTTTTGTAATTTTTTTGTTTGCATCATTATTATTATTATATATATATTTTTTTTGCAGCTTTAAGTTTTTTATAGGCAGTTTCTTGTCCACGTAATATTGAACAACTCATATATTTAAAGACCCATTTATGGTCCGATTAATTTAACATTTCGATGGACATTACTCAGGTCTCAAAAAATGCCCGACTGAGATTCGAAAATACTTTTTTTTTTTTTGTTATTCTAAAAGTCGTTAGTAATTTAACTAGCTAACTAAATATATTTTCATGAGTGTGCGTGTGTGTGTGTGTGTGTTTGTGTTAGTGTATAAGCATGGGTGTAAATCGTTTTAATACTATTCAATTTGTATGTTTTGTGCAGTTTAGATAGTAGGTGTAGCAAATCAAACTGTTTAAATGCACTAGAATCGAGCGACCATAAAATCGATTCTCATAATATAAGCACCAAAAATTCATGAGGCCCAGCAATTTGGGCAACAGCACCAATCATAGAACATTTTGATGGGTTGGACACCTTATATATAGAGTTTATGCACAAGCATACAAACAAGTGAAAACATTGCATTCGGGCGTTACCAACTGCAGCATACTCTTCACATCCCATTTTCTGATTTGCCACACCCTCAATGGGTATACATGTATGCATAATATTTTTGTGCAAATTATTAGAGGATGCTATAAGCAATTTATTCGCTAAGTTTTGAGTTTCTAGCTCTAATACTGTAGAAAATTCAGTTTTTCCTGATTTGCTGATTTGCATATGCTCCAAATTTAAAAAAAATCGCGTTCATACGGACAGACAGACGGACATGCAGAAAACCAAAATACTCATTTCACTTTCGTGAATGAGTATAAAAACAACTGCGATATCAGTTGAGTTCACTAGCCTCGCTCTCTCTGTCGCCCTTTTTGTATCTCTTTAACTTGTCTCTTGGGTTTACCGTTGGTTAAAACATCTAAGGGTTGAGGCCAGTTTTGTAAACGCCCCAAGGCTCAAATCCCCCGACCAACAATAAACAAGTGAGAGTGCTCTAGTGGAGAGTGCTCGACTGGGAGATACCCTAAGATTCTCCAATATGCGGGGCAGCGTAAGCGAGTCGTTAGGCACCGAAGTAAGTATGAAGTTGTTTTGGGAATCTTCCAAAAACGGCTCATACTTACTTCGGTGCCTGGCGACTCGCTTACGTTGCCCGGCACATCGGAGGCGCTTAGATAACCATTTGCAACTTTTTTGTTGTCTAACTTTTCTCCCATGCATGCTCCTGCGTGAGCTCTTTGTACAAGGCGTCCAACCCATATGCTCTACTTTCAATTGCTGCGGGCGCATTATCACAGAACATCCACGTACAGTCCGGAAGCGGGTGATATGTGACAGCGCCCGCAAAAGCCACCACAAAATGCTCGTCGTGACGTCGAGGCTGTGTTGAACTGCAAATGGAATAGGGATAGTTAGTTAAATGATTGTTTAAGCTCCCTCTGCGATAAGGCTTACCCTGCTGGCTTGATGCATGACCGCACGACTGCCATACGTGTTCCACACGGTGCCCGGACGCAAGGAAAAACCCGTATGCTCCAGACTGATAGAAAAGTCTCCCTGGGGGCAGTTCATGTTGCGATTGTAGCAATCGCCAGCTGATCCCAGCGCTTGGCGCTGACCCCTCGATTCCGCAAACTCGAAATCGTTCTCGATGATCCTCAGGTCGCTGATGTTCAGCCGCAGCTTGGCAAAGTGCGTCCGCCCCGAGTTTTGATCGTTGGCATACTCGTGGGCTCTCGAGGCCGGCGGACAGCTGTCGATCAGCCGCGTCTTGTACTCATAATAGATGGAATAGTTCTCCTGCGGCTTCACCGTAATATACTCTCGTGGCGTCCGACTGGTCATCTGATGGCAGTAGATGCGCACCTGCCGTGAGCCCACCTGCAGGGTGTATTCGCCATCCTTGTAGACGGAATACATTTGCTGCACATCGGCGCATGTCTGGGCCCGGCGCACCTGCACAGCCCTCGACTGATTACTGCCGCTGATGCTCCTTCTTCGGCAGCTGGGCGGCGGCGTGCACTTCACCTTCGCCAGTCTGCTCGTCTTGCGCATCTTTGAGTCGTAGTAGTAGCTGCGTCGCTGCTCGTAGCCTGAGCAGTCGCACTGGAACACCAAACAAAATCGAGTTATAAGAATGATTGATTGATTGATCGATCTTCCTCTTACCGGTCTGGTCACCTTGGTGCGAACTCTGGCACAGTTGGTGCATATTTTCCTGTGGATCGGTCGCTTTTTGGCATCGCAGTGCCTGTCGTCCACCGTATTGCCGGGCCACGCCTCGCAGTGCACGTACCTCGTCTGGTACTCCTCCGTACAGTCCTTGGTGCAGCGCGTCCACTCGGACACATCCCATTTGCAGTTGATGAAGCACTTCTTGCTGGACTTGCGCAGCGATGGCTTGCGCACGCCCAACGCTTTGCAGAAGGAGTCAGCCACGTATTCTCGCCGCTTGGGCGTGCCGCGCACCTCGGACTTGTAGACGCGGGCGCACTTCTGCAGCTTGCGCTTGATGCCCGATCCGCACACCACCGAGCACTAAGGATAGTTAATTTTGGTATTATAAATAGGTCTCGTTTACCGTGCCATACTGTGCTCCCTCCATTCTTACCTTCTCCCATTCGCTGACGTACTTGATGTGGCAGCAATTGCGCGCCGCCTTGGGCATCCTGTCCTTCGGGCAGTAGCCGCCGTAGCTGCTCGAGCAGGTCACGGTGCGGTTCATCTTGCACCAATCGCTGCACTCGCCCCACTCTCCCGTCACCCAGGCAATCACGGAGCGTTGGTTTATCTACAGAATTACGAGTTCAGATACATTACAATTGCACTTGCAATGCGGCCTCAAATCTCACCATCGGATCCGGATAAAAGCGACAGGGCTCCATGTTGCAGGTGCGCAGCAGATCATTCAGTGCGTACTTGGTGCGCGGATTGCACAGTTCATCGCTAACGGGCGTATGGTTCAGATAGCAACGCACCTCTCGCACTTGGGTACCCGTGCCACAGGTCTTGGTGCACTGCATCATTAAGTGGAAATATATTATTCAATATGGCTTGTGATTAGCGCAGTTTACGCTCTCCACTTACGGTTGACCAGTCCGTGTAGTTCCAGCAGCCCTCGCGGCACTCCTCGTGGCGCACAATCTCGAATTTGGCCTGGCAGAAGGACATGTCCACGATATTCGTGCGCTGAATATCCGGGAATGTCTGGATACAGTTGAAGGTCTTCTCACGCACGCCCAGCTCTCCGCAAGCCGCGGAGCACTCTGATATGCTCGTCGTGTTCAATCTAAGTGTAGGTTAGGTTAGCTATTGGAGCTGAAGGTAATCGCAATGTCAACTCACGTTAGGATGCAGTCCGTGTTGCAGCTGCGTGACTCCGCCTTCGGCTTGGCCGACTCCTCGCAGAACTGGGAGGACACCTTTAGACCTTGGGTGGTGCTTATGCAGGTGGCCTGGCGATGCATTGTGCCCTGGCAGAGTGAGTCGCAGCTGCTCCAAGCTGGCATTTGCCAGCGATAGATCTCCACCTCAGCCTCGGCAATGAACGGCTTGTCCAAAGTATAGGTGTACGAAATGAGTACCGTATTCTGATCCTTGTCAGCACTCAGATCAATCGAGATGACCTAAACACCCACAGATAATTAGCCAAACAATACAAAACCTAATGCGACTTCGCATACCTTAACAATCAGGTCACGGGTCAGCTTCCATGAGTAGGTGGAGTTGACGCGCTCCACGGTGCTGTTGGAGCCATTGTAGTCGAGTGTCACGCCTGCATAGGTGGTCTTCTTGGGATAGGGCGTTACCACTTTGTCGTTGTTCAGCAGATTATCATGATTGTCGTTGCTCAACACAATGTAGTTCTGATCGGGATAGCCGGGTTGGGTGATAACAATATTTGAAGCACCTGCATGAATAAAAAACAGAATATACATTATACAATATATGTGTGTATATAATATGCAAATCACAATGCTTATCTAGAACTGCTAGCAATACTTTAGATCGTTCAAAATAACAAGTGAGACTACTCTAGCTAATAGATTCCGACTAGTATATACCCTTGGTACGAAAATCCGAAAAAACTCAAGTTTTGTGGTATTTAAGTTATGGCTAAAAAAGGAACTAAAAGGATCGATTATTATCCATAATGGAAACAAAATATTTCAAATAATATAAATAAATAACGATAAACAATAAACGATCATGCGATATTAATTTGTATTAAATTAAATTAAAAAGCTAAACAAACAGAAAATGACAAAGATATTGGTAGAAAAGGAGAGAAACAGTTAGAAAGAGAGAGAGAGAGAGAGAGAGGAAGAGAGACAGCTATAGCTGTTAAATGCAGCCCTGCAACCAACAATAAGAAAAGTCATTTCCCAACCAAATAGACAAATGTCGATGCTAATTAACAGCGAATGTTAAAAAGAGGAAGATGTGTCAGATTGGACTCGATAAAAAGTTTGTAAACGATTAATCAAACACGTGAACGTGACCGGATATACAAATTTGTCTAAAATTTAATGAATGTAACTTTATGAAATTGTATTCTTGCATATGAATGTAAATATTTTGTAAATGAATGCTTCACGTGCTAATAATAAAAATTATTGATTTAGTGCAGTGTGTGTTTGTGTGTGTGCATGGAAAAGGTATGTTTGTACGGCAGTTTTGTTTTTGTTTTTTTCTTTGATAAGAGCTTTGCAATTCAAATCAATTTTTATAGACAACTGCTGGCGACCTCCGGCTTGAACCGGCGCCAATGCCCCGTCTGTCGATTAACCAGCAATCAGTGTGTACGTGAGGCGCCTAGGTGCACTGGGAAGATCAACAGCTGATCAGCCGGGAGCAGCAAGCGACACAAGTTACGTGTTCCAGCAAACAAGGTGAGTACAAAAAAAAAAAAAAAAAAAAAAAAAAAAAAAAAAAAAAAAAAAAAAACATGCAACATTTATAAGCAAGTACGTACATACATATGTATGTACATGTTTGTATATGTGTATGTGTGCATATGTAAATTTTAGCTGGTTTTTGGCTAAGGGCGTGGCTCCCAATGACTCAATTGGGCATCAAAATTGAATTAATAAAAACTATTTAATAGCACATTAAGTCGCGCAACGCATAAACACTTACCATTAGCATTCATTCATCAAATCATTAGCCAAAAATTTTATTTTTAAATTTTTTCTACATTTTTTTTATAACTTTTTTGTACCCATTACGAATGAGAATTGAAGTTATATTGATTTTGCTAGAGTGTAGGTAACAAGCATAGCTGGTTATATTTGGTGTATATATTCCTGATCAATAGATCCATTTATTTCTGTTTTTATTAAGAGAAAACATGAGCTCTTATTGATACACAAGTTTTCCTCAAGAAGTGTGTGCTCATTATGATAAATATATTTATATGGTTAGCTTAGAGTATCTGTTAGTCGAGCAACTTTGACCAGAGCTCACCAACTTGTTATATTTCTATGTTTCTTTGTGTTACTTTCTGCCGCTTGACAACCAGCGAGAGTTTGATGATCGATAGAAGTAAGAACTTTTGGAGGTACACACCTTTTGGTATTGTCGCGACATAGAAGAGGCTCTGTGAGGGTTTCTTTTGCTTCAGCAAATCTGAGACGTACACGTTTCCGGTGTATTCCTCGCACGTATCGTTGCGTCCCTCGCAAACACCGCATTTGTCTACATGGCAAAAAATGAAAGAAATCAAATTAATGATTTGAGATTTTTGAATATAACTACGACTGCGACTAGTTACCTAGCTTGGCAATGGAGTTGAGTTCGTTGTCGCAGCCTGCCGGCCGGCAGATGCCGTTGACACACTTGTCAAAGCTGTCCACGTTGCAGTTGGTGCCGTCCGTGACGACGTCCTTCAGCAGAAAGTAGGCGGTGTTGTCCTCGATGCGGCAATACAGCTTGCACTTGTCCATCTCATGGGTATTCACTGTGGAATGAACTGGTTAGTGAATATGACGCGCTGAGCATTCGAGTGCACTTACGTCCATATTTCGGTACCCACTTGGAGGACGGGCTCACGCCCGGAATCTTCTTTTTGCCGTACATATCGTAGCACTGCTGCTCGCGCGGCTCGACGGTGCCTGGCGGACAGTTGTGGGTGTTGCAGGAGCGGTACTTCTTGCGGCTGCCCACACAGTACTTGCCACCGTTTTGGGGCGCTGGATTGTTGCACTCACGGCGCGAGTGTTGCACGCCGCCGCCGCACGACAGACTGCAGGGCGTGAAGGCGTCCCAGGGACCCCAGCCGCCGTGCACCACGCGTAGCCCAGTGCCCGAGCGTGGCACACACTTACCCTTCTGACACCAGAATCCGTTCTTGCTGTTGCTGTTGCAGGGCGTGCCATCTGCCCAGGGCAAGTTGCTGGAACGGCAGAGCCCATTGGGATGCGTGTTGGCGTTGCAGAAAAGTTTCTTGCACTCCACCTCCGAGAAGCAATGGGTGCTCTGGTTGCCATGTATCAGACGACACTGATGGTCCAGCGAATAAATCTCTCCTGGCTGCTTCGTGCTCTCTTCCCTTATGTACGAGGATGGCGTGTTCTCCAGGCAAGACTTGTCCATTTTTCTAAACCGAAATTAACTAAACATGAAAATTATCTGCTATATGTGCAAATTGCTTAAGTAATTACTCGAGAAACTCGGAGACATAGTGCTGCGAGCACTTGGACCATGACCACGGATACATATTGTCGCCCATGACGCTGGACATGATGTGCAGCGTCCCCGACTTCATATTGTACGGCTTGCAACGGTCGTCATCGTCGTGCGGCATGTTGAAGCTAAAGAGGCAAAGATTGGGCTATAATCTGGGGGTAAAACTAGCGATCCCAATTGGACTCACATGTGGCCCAGCTCGTGGGCAATCGTAAAGGCGGCGGCCAGGCCATTGTCCTGCACAAAGGAGCAGGAGCGAGCCTTGCAGAGCGTGCCCAGCTCGGCCAGACCCAGAGTTCTGCAGCGCTCGTCCCGCTCATTGTTGCAAATCTTATCGCTGTAAACAACAAAGGGGAGAGGGATTAGTAGGCGATTACGCCGGGACTCGTTGGGTCTTCAATTACCGCGTGATAAGTATGCTGGTGTCGTAGTGAATGCCCCTTCTGGTTAGATCCGAGCAGAAGTTATTGAGTTTCTCGTTGGTGGAGCTGGCATGTTCGGGTCCGTGGTGCGCATCCGAGTTGAACTCCACCAGATTGAGCAGCGACAGCTTTATGGAGTAGCCAATGCTGGCATCCGCAAAGATATTCGATACGATTGAGAACAGCGTGAGAATGTAGGACCTGAGGTCTTTGCCATGGAACTCGAACATGGTGCTGTCAACGGCAATGAGCACCTCCAGCGTGTAGACCTGATTGTCCAGATTCGGAAAGTGGCGCTTTTGTCGCGTGAGCCGCTGTGGCATGCTCGCCGCCATGTCGAGCGCCGCGAGCTCCAGGTCAAAATCGGAGACAGCGTGTCTAGGACTGCGCTGCGAGTGCCGCCAGACGCGATGCAAAATCTGGTCGCTGTCCGTCTGATTGACCGGCTGAATGAGCATCGTGCCGAAACTGGTTTTTATATAACCAGTCTGTGGAATAGGGGCAGGGCAGGAGTTGCATATAAGCTAATTAGTAGTCATATTCGGCGATATATAGATAAGCATAATTTTCGAAATGCTAATTTAATGCAAATCGCTTTCTGAAGGTCTCAGCTCCAACTGATCTCAGCCATCTGACACCTGGCACCTGGCACCTGGCACCTGTCGGCGTTAATATTCATGTTTTGTGCTGTCATTGACTTACCATGCCGCCGCAGAGAGAGACGGCCACTGCTGATTGATTATCGCCATCCACGTAACCCTTGTAATAGCAGCCCAGAAAGTGGCCGCTCTCCTCCTCCGGCTCGTGCTTCGACTCCTCGGTGTGATTGTTGAGTATGCGAATCACTCGAAATGTGTTCGATGGTATGAACGAGGTGTCCTGGTGCAGCATGAGGTGCAGCACCTTGCCGAACACGTGCAACAAGTACTCCGGATGTGGATCCCAGATCTGGCTGGACTGTCTGCGGAACGTGCCCGTCATGCTGAAGGCCGAGGTCGTATCTGCAACGATACATACATAGCCAGGCACATTTGTAGGCGGAACTCAGTCCAAGTGCTATTGGCGAATCACTTACCCTTCAGGCTGCTGTTGGTGCTGCTGCTGCTGCTCTGTCGTTTCGATTCGTAGAGCATATCCTCGGCATTGAGGCTAATGTTGTGTATTTTTTGTGGCGTTACAAAGGCGCTGAGATTGTCGCTCTCCGGATATTGTAGACTGTCAAATTTGTAGCCGTTTTCCGTAACGCGTTCATCGCTCCGGTTGATAATAATCGTGTCGTTTAAAAAGTTCATGGGCTCTTCCACCTCATATAGGCGCTTGGGACTGCTATCGCTGGGCGTGCCGCAAATGAAGAAGATAAAGAGGCCGAACAGGCTCAGCAAGAGCGCAACGCTGATCCATATTAACGCGTGCTGGCGCCAGTGTGTCGACATGTTGCGGATATTTTTATGCTTGTAGAACCACCATTCGCAGGTCTTCTTCAGCACAAGCTGCAAGAGATGCAAACACAGACAGTTGAGAAGAAAGTCAAAGTCGAGGCAGAGCTATGGCGAGACCTAAATGCAATATCGTTTGTCGAGCTCACGATACGCTCGAAAGTTGAAAGTTAGTGGCATTCTCTCACATCTTAACGGCCGATTGCAGCGCTCGGGGCCCAGCCGGCGGCAGAGCTAGCTGACTTGGGCACGTTCCACTCACCCGCAAGTAAGTAAACATTATCATTAAGAGCTTCAGATTGGCCGTTGAACCCATTGATTTGAGTGATTATTACTCTGATACACCTATTGTGTATCGATCGACTGACGGCCGGCTGCCTTGGCCATCTGTTCTGCATCATCAACAGGTTGCAAAGCAAGCGAAAATATTTCAAATATATTTAAGCATATATCAGCAGCAGTAAGAGTCGAGTTTCTGTTATATCTTATATATATCTTTTCTTATTGATATCATATTTAGTTATTAGGAATTAGAATCAATATAAAATTATGCACTGGGGTCTTGGGCTTGTGATATTATATATTAAATTAGTTATTCGAACAAATTAGCATTGTTTACTCTTTATAAAATATTTCATTTAATTATTTATCTTAGCATCAGTAGGAGTCGATCAAGCCCTGTTCGTCTGTCTCTTCTTCACATAGGAGCTGTAGGTGAATAGGTTGCAGCTAGGGTAGCTCAAGCTTCTATTAAGCAATCTATATATTTTCCAATTATTATTATACAATATATGCTAATAGTTATTTGAGTTATTTGGAATTATTTACATATGCTAGACTCCCAATAAAACCTGGAACCGTTTTGTAGTGAAATTTTACATATCGATTTATCGCCTACTCGATAATTGTAGACATGAGACTGTGTCCAGAATTACTGTTAGTCTCCGTGCAGGCTATAACTCTAAAAATGGCATTTAGTCTGAATTTCGCAGCCCAGTCGCCAACATGCTCTTCGATTCCTCTGTGCTGGCTGCAGTCAAATAATGTAAAATAATAATAAATTACGGACTGCCCGGTGTGCCATAATGTGCGAGTGTGCCAAGAGCAAATAAATAAAAATTAATAAACAAAAGAAGAGGTGGAACCGAAATGAAACGAAGCAACGGCTAAGTGCCCCGCGAGCAAACAATTTATAGATATACCTATGTGATGGCTTTAATTTGTCTTGATGGCTATTGTTGCTGTCGTTGTTGTTGTTGCACCTCTTGGGCGCCGCGAATTTGTGAAATTTGTGCATTTAGCGTATCGTGATCAATGTGGCTTTTAAATGTGGTGTCGAAAATTTAA